TTCTCCAGGGCACATGGATGCAACAGCAAAGCAGGGTCAGAGTGCATACACCAGTGCAGCACTGCCAGGGCACATCCACTGGGAATCTGCTGCCAAAGGCCAGGCAAAGGCACAGGAGAGCCTGAGTGGAGCAGGAGACAGCTTCAGCTGCCTGGCTGTGGACACAGTGTCCCTGGAGGAACAGCCCTGCATGTCAGGAAGGATTTACCCATAACTGTGCCATGCTTCCTGCCAGCCTGGGGCAGCACAGATGGGGCTCACTGTAAAGCACTGGGGAGGAGGAGAGAAAGGAGATCTCTGTCTGTCCTCTACCACTTCTGCTGGTTTCCCAGAGCCCTGGCACTGAGGGAAGCTGCTGGGATGTGTTCATGCACCTGGTGTATCCTGGAGCAGGTAGAGCAGCTCTGTTCAGCTCTCACCTGTTTGCTCCTCAGGTCTTGTGTGTGACTCATTCTCCCTCACTCTCCTGGTTCTGCTTGTTCTGCTCAAAGTCAAGAGCTTGCTCTGGGCAGAGGGAGTTCCACAGCTGAATCACCCTGAGCAGATAAAATGGTTTGAGAGGAATGGGCTATTAATAGCTGTGTCCACCCACAGCAGCAGGAGAGCTGCAGGGAGTCCCAACAATATCCATGGCAGTTGTGAGGGGGAGGTGATACCAGCTTTACATTGAGGAACAGAGGCTGAGGCAGGCTGGGCTGCAGTGTGTGCCCAGCAGTTGGGGTTCCTGTGGGAGACAAATGTTGCAGAACACTTGGCAGGGGTGTGTTCTGTCCAGATTTTAAGGCAGTGTGCCCCTCAGTGAGTGGAAGGTGGCTGTGGCCAGGGAAGGTGGGTGAGCAAGGGGTCTGTTCAGCTGTGGTCATGCAGGACTTCAGGAACTTTTTTCTAATCCCCAAAACTCTAGATTGCAAACCACACAGGATACATCAAGGTGGACTGGAACCTAATACAGCGGGACATGAACAAAGCCAAGCAGCAGCTGAAATTTCACACCAGTGGTGACAAAATGCCTCCAGAAGTGAAAAGCAGAGTGGATGAGGTGAGAGCTCTCCCAGGCCATGTGCTGGAGGGACAGCAGAAAACAGGATTGCCTCTTGAACTGTTACAGATGTTCAGTTGTGCCAATACAAGGAGGGAATTCTTGCATGACAGCAAAATGGGAGAGATGGCAAAAGTTGTGGATGTTGCCTGCCTAGAGTTTAGGAAGACATCATTTCCCACAGCATTCTCCTGGATCAGCTGGCTGCTTGTGGCTGGGCAGGGTGAAGGTCTGGCTGTGTGCTGGTGCAGTTAGGGAGGAGAGCTCATTAGGTAGGAAGTTTTCCCAAATCTGAGCAGTGGCATCTCTGTGAGCATCAGTTACCTCAAGAACAGCCTGAGGGATTTCTTCTTAGCAGGAGGGTCAGTGAGTGGCCTGATGTTGTTGAACACTGTTGTCTCTTCTCACCCCTGCTTAGGTGGTCATATTTCTGAAGAAGAATGCTATCCTGACTGGAGGGTTTGCTGGAGGATTCTTGTTTGGAATGGCATCCTAGAAGCTGCACTCTCCTCTTGTGCCCAACCTCCCCTCCCCTACTGCTGTTATCTCTCACTTAGAAGTCAAAGGATGTTGCCAACAGACTCAGTCCCATCTGCTCACAGGTTCCAGCCCTTATTTCTTACAATGCTGCTTCTGATTTCCACCTTTTTCTTCTGTCTGGGCTGTTAATGTGCTGGGCTTGGTCTGGAAGCTCACAACTCCCAGTGTATCATGATTTCCCTCCAAATACGCCCAGACTCAAATTTTTTAACGAGTTTCAACTCCATAAAAATGTAGTGGCAGAGAAACCTCTTAAATGTGCTTCTTGCAGATGCTCAGGACTGTTATGTGTACCTTTGTCTGCCAGTATATTGTGTCAGCTCTTCACTACAATTTAGCTTTCAGTATTCCTGCCCTGGTACCTGGAACACCTCTGCTTCCCTCTGCACAGAGGTGATCTGTGCAATCCAAGATGTGGTTGACAATCCTGGGGTGGATGCAGAGGTGTCAGAGCTGCCTGAGCTGTATCCAGGACAGGGGAATATGGATTTTCCTGCCCTCCCCCTGCTGTTTCACTGCACATAGGTGGCCATTTGGCTTTGTCTCTGCTGGTGTCCTTCCCCATACTGGAATTGCAGCACTGGCACTGCTGATGGAAACTGAGCACTGAGGCTGACTCTCCAAGCCCTTTTCTCATCATGTGTTCTGAAAGTCACCAGGTTCTGTTCTGCAGAACCACCTGACTGCTCAGCCCTTGAGGCTCTTTCCTGCTTCCAGCAGGCCCAGCCTGGCTGTGTCACATGGGGGCATTTCAGCTGTGCCACTTACTGTAAATCACCCCGGGCCTCTGACTGGGCTTGCCATGTGTGCCACAGCCTTCTCTGGTCACTTTGGCATTGGTGATGCTCCTTGAGCTGTAATCATGTGGGACAGGATTGTAGACAGGAAATGCATCCCTGCTCAGGGTACACTGGACTGGTCCTGATCCCTGTTGCCAGCTGTACTGGAGAAAGGAGGATGATGTGAAATCTGGAGTGCAGTCCTTTACTTGCCTCTGAAGAGCACAAATTCCTTCTCCCTGGTCTCTGCAAGCAACTGAAATGACAAAACTTCAGTAAAAACCAGACCATGCTCTTGTGAGAGCAGTTCATTTCATATCTCTGCCTCAGTTATGTTCCTTCCTTCTTTGTGTTTGCCATTTCCACAAGAAAAGCTGTTTGCTTAACTCCATCAGCTGCAGCCCTTCTCTTGCAGGAGATGAGGCTCCCCAGGTGCAGAGCTCAGTCTGACTCAGTGCAGTACAAACAAACATCCCCCAGGGTATTCTGCAAGCACAGAGACTTGTCTGACAACGTGGTGATGTCCTCCAGCAGGTATAGGTAGGAGTTCTTGCCCAGAATGTGGGATTTTATGTGAAAGTCAGCTCATCTTTCCATGGGAAACATGGTAGGGAGCAATGGCAATCATGGGTGGGTGGTTTGCAGCACCTGGCTCAGCAGCTGCACCCCATTTCCAGTGTGTGCAAAGGCTTTGTGATCTGCTGCTCTCAGTGTGGCTGGAGAGGGGATCCTGCCCTGAGAGCTGCTGGCAGAGCTGAAGTGCTGGGTTCTCCCATCTGAGGGGTTGGAATGAGCACTTGCAGTTGGTAATTTTGTTTCAGCTCTGCTGATTGAAGTGTCCCTATTGGACCACATCGATTTAGCTGAGGTTTTCCTCACCTTCAGGATCTGAAAAGAGGCTGCAGATAATCAGGAGATAGAAGTTACTGTCTTTGCTCCTGTCCTGCCATACATGGCCAAGGAGAATGAAGGAGTAGCTGGGCTCACATCCTTGAACAATGGCCTTCCTAAAGGCCATCCTGGACTGCAGGAGTGATGGGATGCAGCAAACAGGTCTTCAATAAATTGGTGTTTAGCAGTGGGGTTACAGACAGTGGTGGGGTTTTTGGGATTTGGTTTGTTTTCCTGTAGGATCTGCAGATGTGAACGTGCCTAAATAGATACATTGGTCTTGCAGGGGATCTCTTGTTCCTGTAGGACAACAGCATTGTTGCTCTTTGGCTGGGTGGGCTGCAGAACACAATTTCTGAGATGCACTGATCTCCACAAAGCTGTCTCCAATGAAAAAGCTCAAAGCAAATCATTAACAGACCTTAGGGGTGTTTTTCTGGCTCAATAAGTCACTACTTCTACTCAGCCCTAGGTGGGGTGAGTTCTGCTCAAGTCCCAGTTTGCTACAGAGAGAAATGGCCCCGAGAGGGAGCTAAAATGCTGCTGAAAGGGGAAACAATCAACAGATTGATGCTGGGTTTGATGTGAATGTAGACAAGGAATGGACAAACACATCAGGATGTGGCAAATCTTTCTGCTATGCTGGTGTTGGGCTCGTGGCTGGCTGTTTGATGCTGTGGGGCAGCACTGGAAGCTTTGATGCTGGATCAGTCTCTGTGGGGATGCATTTTCATTGCTGCAGGTGCCAAGATGAGGTGTCCCTTCCCCTCCCCACTCCTGCTCCTTTTAGTGTTGTTTCAACAACTTCTGACATCTGTTACACTCTGAGATTTCAAACACATCAGGCTTTTAAAGTGGTTTTATATATTGTATGTAAATGCTTGTTGAAGTGATATTTTATTAAACAGTTTTGCTCTAAATGCTTCTCTGTGTGAGGTCTGTTGGCTTCCTGGGAACCAGCACATTCCTGCCTCACTGACTGAGGGGAGCACCCACAGCAGCAGGAGGGTGGCAGGTAGCACTTGGGGACATGGCTTAGTGCTCAACTTGGCAGTGCTGGGGGAATGGTTGGGCTCCATCTTAAAGGTCTTTTCCAACATAAATGAGTTTATGGGGGTTCCAGCCTCCCCTCATCCACACAGGTAACCTGGGCTACCTTAATAAATCCCTCTCCATGATCATCCTGGCACCAATCACACATATTCCCAAGAGTATGGGATGCTGCTAGGGCAGGAGGTGAGTCTGTATGAGTCTGTAGCCAGCCTGGGTTGCCTCTGCTGAGCAAATTTGATCCACCCAACTGCAAATGGGCATGGAGACAAGGCTATTTCTTTTTCGTAGGTGCAGCAGAAGCCTAAATATATATATATATTATCTGTCTAGATTTTTCTAAATGTATCTAAATATATATATTTTATCTATTTATATGTTATTGACTTTCTTTCCACTGTTCCTGCTCAGATAGGGCAAAGGAGAAAAATCAGCTACTTGTCAGTGTTTGAGGTGGTTCACAACATTATCATCACTTTTCCCTGCTTTTCAGGGACACTAAACCCTGTTTTGTCTTAAAGGTTTTTTCTGGATTGGGACAGCAGTGGGAGGGGAAGACAAGCCCTAAATTATTCTGATCTTCAGCCCCAGTTACAAAAATATCAAGCAGCTTCTATTGAAACATGATCTCACATGGCTCTGGGCTGTGAATGGCAGCCAAGCCGCCCGGCCTGCAGCTCAACAAACAAGCAGAGACCACAATTTGTTCCAGTCGTTTATTTTGTACCATGGTATTTCAGAGCAGTGAATACAGATGGTTTGCTCTTCTAGGCTTCAGTACACACAACTATTGTGCCTAGACCTCAGTGGTTTATAGAAGCTCTATTTCATAAGTAAGTTGTACTTGATCACAGCACAAAAGTCCTTTACGGCTAGATCTAATACAGAGTTAGGGCTAGTGGGTTGGGAGCCTGATATTTGGGTGCCTGGACTCCTGCTACAGGGGACAGCAGACAGGCAGCTCTGAAGGGTGGTGCAGGAACCTGTCTATGAGCTCTTCCTACAGGTCACAGGAAATTCTGCTGCATGGCCGAGAGCTTCTGGAAAGCCATCTCTCCTGGGGCCCAGACACAGCTGGCTTGGGAGTGAGTCTGGAATGTTGTGTGGAAAATAACTGCCTACAACTGCTTGTTCAGTAAGCAGCACCTAAGTCAGTTCTTGGATCTAGCCCAGGGCTCTGTGACAGGCCTTTGGGTATCAGCAGTTTTAATTAGACTTGGATTCAAAGCATATTGCTTAAAGGTGTTCAATTAGACATAAATTTATAAATTTTGTATCAACAGTCAAATCTTTCAAATGAATATTGCTTTTTTAAAAAAATATCCTATCCCTGTAGCAATCCCTGAAATTATATTCCTGTAACATCTTTATCATGCAAATAGCAGCGTGTAGGCAATTCAAATATAAAATAAACAACTCTGTCCAGTGGAAAAGTGAGGCACTTAGGCAAAGTGACTTGCAGTCACTCATGATCTATACAAGACTTAGGAACAATCATCAGACCTGATGCCCATTCTTGAGCTTGAACCACTGGACAGGCAAATGTTGTCTGGAACTACTGCACGGTGGCAGCAATACCTTTGTTGTATCAAGATGGGTTTGTTTCGTGTTTAAACTCACTCTCCTGAGCTCATTTCCTGTACCTCTCGCTCCAGAAGCCAGAATAACTCGGTTCCAATTCTCCATTTTTAGAGCAAGGATGGATTAGAGTAAGGTAAGCATCCTAAAAACATCAAGTTGACATTTCACAGGTGTGATGCAGAGGCAACATAGATTATGTTTTCGTACAGAAAATAAAGTTTGTTAACCAGGCCATATGTTGGTACTGTGTAATGCTTTTTGGTGTGCTGAACGGTGTGTTCCAGGAGCAATCTGGCTTTTCTGAAAGTCTAAAGAAGGCTTGAAAAAACACACACGAGCTCTTCAAGTGAGTCCATGCTTTGTGTTACTGAGGTGGTGGGGAAATTCCTTTTGAAGTCAACTTAGCCTTTTCTCTCTCCATTTCTTCTCTCTCAAACCCTGAACAGCAGACGGACCTGCCCTTGGTGAACCGAGCGCAGCATTTCCGCATCTCCTGGAGCGCAGCTTCACACTTGGACTCCACGTAGTTGTTGGCTGGAAAAGGAGGAGACACCAGGTCTGCAGAGAGGAGCAGGCTTTGTTCCCTGAGGGAGCACACCCTGCCCAGCTCTGCAGCTGCTTACAAGCATTCCATCATTTTCTTGCTCACAGCTGTCTAAGGCTGTGGCTCTCTGTGACTCAGAGAGGAGTCCTGCAGGAAGAGACTCAGGCTGGTTTAAGAACCACCTGCCCAGAAACATGCACAGCCCCCTGCTCTGCCCTGGATGAGCTCTGCAAGCACTACACAGCTGCACTCTGACTTTTAAAAGATTAAAAGAAGTAACAGCAGCATAATGTGAGACACACAGCACCTGTGGAGAGCCCAGAAAGCAGCAGTGAACACCTTCTGGTTAATGAGCAAACCACACTGCTGTGATCACTGGGCTATGAATTCCCTGACTGGGTTGGTGAGTGAGCTGTAATACAAACACAGAGATCACCCCTGAGAAAAGGGTTGTGGTGATTTCTGCAAGCTGGCAGCCCAGGAGGCACAGCAGGCCATTGGAGAGGAGAGCTGATCTCTCCCTGCCATAACCTGCAGTTGATGAGTGCTCCAAGGCTCTCCTAACTGTCCCTCTGCCTTTGCAGCGTTGTTTCTAAAACTGTACCTATGTACAGGCACACCATCAACTGTCAAGGGCTGAAAGTCACACACAGATAGCAAAACACAAAAGAGATTTACAGCAGGCATTCAGTCTCACAGAGGAGCAAGCAAGATCTTTGGAACAATGACTTTTGAGAAGGCAGCATCTCCCAAAGGTGCAGCTCCCACCCTCCACCTCACACATTGGGTACAGTGACTGTGCATTCCTCAGTTAAGGCTCTGTACTTTAATTTTTACAGAGGAAAACTGATTTGCTCTCTGTCAACAGCTGCTTCATCTGTGCCCATCACACAGCTCCACAGCACAAAACAGGAACAGCAGCAGTGACAGGGACTGGACATGCAGCAAAGAGCTTCTCTGCTAACACTTAACCATTCAGATCAACGCTGTACACAAACCTACACAGGAAAAACACTTGGAATAACTTCCACAAATGTTATGAAAAGAACATTGCCAGAGATGGGACCAAAACAGGGTCAACCATCAGCTTTTAAGTGCAGTAATATAGGGAGAGAAGGCAGTCCTTTGTGGGAGAATGCTCCAAACCAGGAGGACATTAAAGGTAGTCTCTAGACAATTGCTGGGGACAGGAAGACATTCTCACACCTCAAGGACAGATCACCTAACCCGTTCCTGACAGAGCTCTTGAAACACCCCTGGAGCAGCTCTGCAGTCTTCTCATACCATCCACCTACTCCCTCACTAACCACACTGTAAGAGAGCTTATTATAAATGTCTAGCTCTCCCTGCCCACAGCTGAGTCCCAAAAATACACCTGGGATCTCACTGCCAGCATGGAGAACTCTACAAGCACATTACTGTTACTAATGATCTGCTTTATACTAATGAGGTCTCATTATTTACAATTAAGCACAAAGCAATTCTATTAACATCAGACATTATAATTCTGTTCATTTTGCAGCCAGGCAATGCTAATGTGCTTTGTTCCTTCTCAAGGTGAAAGACAAGGTTAATTTAGAAGAATTAAGTTCCACCAAAAATCAGGACACCAAAGACAAAATAACACTTGGTACCTTGCAAGCATTTCTGTATTTCACAGGCTTGTTTCTGGCAGGGATCCTTCCGGGACATGTTCAGGAACTAAAATGATAGAAAATGTTACTGTACATCAGGGTTCTTCTCAGGGGGTGGGAAAGACAATGTCCTACAGCCACATCTTTCAGGAGCTCCCCATTTCCCCCACTGTCATCATTCAGAAAACATCTACAGCTGCTTCCAGGTGCCTGCCAACATACACAAGAACTCTGCCTAAAAGATGATGATGGAGACAATGAATAGAGGAAGTTTCATGTCACTAAGTTTAAAAGCCTTCTTCTTTTCTCTAGTTAAAATGTGTCCTTTTCCACATGGATTTACAAAGATTCCAGAAAATATTCAAATTAACATGGCTGACTAAATTTTAAGAGTTTTCTATCTCTAGACATTATACTGAGACATGTACTTATGAGAAATCCACCTCTTGTGAGCTTTACACAACCAAAGACTTGGTGGCAAGTCATGGAACCACAGCTGGAGAAGGCATTTAAAAAAAACAATCACCCAAACAACTCAGTTGTGTATATGCCATAAAGCCAACAAGAAGGGCTCTTTTCATTTTGTTTCAGAAGGAAGTCTTGAAAATCCTCTCCCTCTGTCCAAAAAACCCCTCAACCAGATTGGAGGACAGCTCCATTTTGTTCAAATCCACTAGAAAAGGATTTCAGACACCTGAGTTGATTTTTCTGCAGCTGAGACACCTGTAACTGTGTCAGTGTAAGATCAAAAGCCAAGCAAAAGCTGGTGGTACCAGTAGTTGGATGGGAGACCTCTGAGGAAAGCACCAGTGTCACAGTAAGTGGAGGTGAGACTGAACCCTCTGAGGCTCTGCTCAGAGCTGGGAGCTGCTGCCTGTCCAGTTGCTGACAGGCCACAGCCCCCAGCAGTTTGCAGTGTCACCAGGGCATTGCTTGCAGCATCCTGGCCGAATTCCATCTGGGGCAATCACATTCTGCCTACCTAGAACTCCCCCTGATGCTTCATAGGTCACAATACTCCACTGTCCTAAACTCGTGTGGTGCTGCTGTGTGTTGTTTAACTGCTTCCACCTCAAAGGTGGCTGCATTTCAGTGGAGAGAGAACCTTTTATTGTACAAAACAGACAATGGCATCTTCCTAGAGCCACTGCTCCTGAAAGACAAAAATTCATACTGAAGAAAGACTGGGAGTAAACAGTGCACAGTACAAAGCAGGGGTAATGTCTGCACATACCAGATTAATCCCCAGGCACGAGTTTAAGCAGCAGTTCTTCAACACCATCAAGCTGTAAGTGACAAGGAAAAGTTCAATACGTCTACAGTTACTGCGGTTGAGCTAATGGACTTCAACAAAGTAACAGTCCTTTGCCGTCCCTCAAGGATCTCAAATGACTTCACAAACAGGAATGACTATGTTCTATTGTCGCCACCATCCTTACCATGAGATGGTGCTCTATCTCCCAAACGCGAGAGTTACTATCCCTGTACTGCTCACCCTGGGACAGCTGCCACATGTGAGGCAGCCGGGATGGGGGGAGCTGGCTGGGTCGCAGCGCCTCACCCAGGGGAACCTGAACTCTTTGGATCCGAGCCCTCAGCATACCTTCCTCCTGGGGGAGAGTAACAAACAGAGCAGGCAGTTACTGGCAGAGGCACCTGAAACAGCAACGCTACAACCAGGGGGAAGCTCAAAGCGCACACTTGCCTCTTCCGCAGCCACGAGCCAGGTTTTGCGGTGCTCATCGCAGTAAACCCCCACGCGGCGCACCCAGAGGCGCACGGGAGGAGCGCCTGCCTCCCCTCCCTGCGCCATCCCTCGGGCGCTGCCGCAGCTCAGCCGGACGGCATCGGCCCGCGGGCTGCACTCGCGGCCTCCGGAGCTCCGAGCACATCCACGGGGAGAGCTCCCGCAGCCGGCAGCCAGGTGGTGTCTGACTCTCGGAGGAGATGCTACGTGCGGAAATGTCCCTAAAAGTCAGCTCGGGAGGCTGAGGTGGCGCCTAAGCCAGCGGAAACGTCAGGCCAAGTCGTACAGTGGGACACGCGGGCCGGGTGGCGTTGGTAAGGCATTCTGGGGCAAAAGGTGCTATTGGTACCAAGTTAAACCCTGGGAGTATTGGCTTTGCTCATTCCACTAACAGTCCTATTAACAGTCTTTGTGTAAAATGGGGGGAAAAAGAGGTGTCTAAATCCCAAAAGCAAAACCGGTGAGCAGCAGTGAGGTGAGCTCAGCAGGAACGGAGATCACTCTGGAGGCAGAGCACAGGGCTCGCTGTGCAGGACTCTCATCTTTGGAGCTCGCTGAGCTGTCGGGGCGCAGGGTCCTTTGTCTCATCTCTCGGGGTGGCAGCACTGTCCATTCACACCCAAACTCCTCGGGAGCAGCGCTCAGGACTCTCACTCGGCTTTTGGCTGGTCACAGAGAGCCACCGACACGGGCAGAGGAGCTTGGGGCACTGAGGTGGTTCCTGCTACTGTAACTTTTGTGTAACAGCACGTTTATCTGTGTGCCAGTTAGATCAAGCTGAGCCATTTGCAAATGGAGGTCAGGGGAAATGATTCTCTTTGAACCCTAGAAGAGGTAATCAAAATGGTACAGACAGTCTTCATCCTTTATCTAGGTGTAAAGTAGAACAAAGTTAAGCTGTAACACATACAACATCCTCCTGCTATGAAGCAGATGCAATATTCTTTATCCCAGTGAAACACAGTGGTCTTCTGAAAACTTGTAAGGTTATAAGGCATATTTCAAACAGGAGCAAGAAAATCTGGGTACAAAATAAAGGAGGGAAGGTCAGGGAGAGAAAAAAAAAAAAACTTGTTATACATTGGGCTGCATATATAACAGAAAATACTCTTCCACGATGCCTTCCATATCTTACATCAGTGTTTCTCTATCTTTTTGAGCCAGAGGAGCACTCAGCCTTTTTGAGAACAAAACACCAACCACGGGTCAGCCTGAACAGCACCATCACAAAGAAAACTTTGAGTGCTCTTTTATTACTTCTGTTTTTCACCCATTCTGTTTGTTGCCTTGCTTGGTGTGTGGGGATGTGTATGTGCCCCACACAAAGCACCACTGTTCTGGCTGCCATCCTGTGATGAGGGACAGGCATTCCAAGGAATGCCCCACCAGCTGGATCACTGGCATTTAGAGGAATGTGACTGCAGCCTGACAAGCCTCACAAGGCCTTCAGGAATTAGGGTTAAAAGGACATTTCTGTAACTCTTTTCCTTTCTGCTTTACCCTAAGCCACATTACAAATTTAAACCCCTGTGTGGAACTCTGCCCAACAGTGAAATGCAGCAATTGCCACTGAACACAATCACCCCAGGTGGAATTCGGCCAGGATACTCTGCAGAAAACTGCAAAAAGTTCCATTGTGATCAGAAATGCCCAAGAACTTGTTTTCATTCCATTCAAAGCTGGAATTTTTACAAGTCATCATTCCCAGAACCAGAAGGCTCAAGACTGGCTCCAGTAATAGAAAAATGAGTCTCAGTAAATGAACTGTGTTTCCTACAGTAGGTAAGCTCTCCTGGAAGGTCTCCTCTCCAAACACTGCCCTGGTTCAGGCTGGCTGAACCACAGGGAGCAGGACCAAAGCACAACATGCACGTTTGTGTCCATGGGCAGCAGAGATGGCAGCAGTGACAGAGCCAGGACAACAGAACAAGGTCTCATGCAGAGGACACTGTGCAGAATGGGCAGAGGTTTGTGTGTGCTGTCACCCTGTGCCCCAAGCTCCCCCAGAACTGCAAAGCTCAAAGGCTCAGTCTGGCCTGTGGAGGTGCCCAGGTGGTGCCACATGGAAAACCCTGAGGTCAGGCAAAACCATCAGCTGGGTCTGGGGTGGGACAGGAGTGGGACAGGAATGGGACTGGGGTGGGACAGGAATGGGGTTTGGGGTGGGACAGGAATGGGATTGGGGTGGGACAGGAATGGGGTTCAAGGTGGGATAGGTGTCTGCAGCACCCAAACACACCAAAGGAACTGGAGATTCCACAAGCACACACCCAGACAGTGCACCTGAAAACACACACAGTGTCTTATTGCTGCAGGTTTGATTAGAAAGCAAAAACAAAGCCTGAAGGAAGACATGGGTGGAAGGAGAAGAGAGCTTACTTATATTTTAAACACATTTTAAACCCGAGTTCTTACACTGCCTGCTTCATAACCTATCAAAAACCCCATCACAACCAAGAAAAACCCCAACAGCTTAAATGTGCAGGATTGCAGCATCATCCTTTGAGACTTTAACATTCCCATCAACACTGCTGTAGAAGGCTGAGCTGTTCAAAGTGCTGCTTTGGGGAGATTCCAACCCCAGTCCTCACAGACAGGAATAACACTGGCAGATGTTCTGTCCATCTTAGCATCAACCTCAGAAGTTTAATGCTGTTCTGGGACCTGGATGGATTTCTGAGCCATAATATATGGATAAATGTCAAAATGGCCAGGAGGAGGAATGCAGCTTGTAGTGACGACAATTTATTTGGTTTTAAGTTGGGTACATTAAAATATTTTATGGAAACAGTGACAGAAATTGCTCCAGATGCTGCCTGGACCACCCCAGAGCTGGAGGTCAGTGTGCTGAATAAACTGCACCCTTTATCACCTTTTGATCTAAAAAGCAGCAGGGAGTTCAGCTGCCATTTAGGCAGCAAGGAGAAGCAGTGCTCAGGCTCAGCAGTGCTGTGCTGCCACAGTTACACCCCAAAGCACGGCTGGCCAGCCTGGCCTTCCCCTGGGGCTTCAGAGCTGCCTGCACACCTCAGGGCTACGAGGGTGCTGAGCCTTCCTGACAAACCCAGCCCGGCTCTGGCAACAGCTCGGGGATCTGGTGACTTAAGGGCATGTGGAGACACTCTAAAGCTTCTTCTTGGGGGTTTGACTCTACTCTGCCTGGAGCAAGCCCCTCTGACTCCACGCTCCGCTCTGCCCGACCTACGGAGGGGTAGCAGATGCTCACCGACCAGCCGGGCTGTCCAGCAGCGTGGGGAGGGCAGGCCGAGCTTTGGTGGGATCTAAAAAAACAGGAAGACAAAGAGATGGATATAATGCAGAGGGAGCCAAGCAGAGGGGCGAGGGAAGGGACGCAAGAGCCGGGCCGGGGAGCGGGAGC